TTGCAGAAGGCAGGAAAAGGAGAGAGCGGATAGCACCAGCTCGTCCAGTGAGGACACGGTCATGTCTGCTCCCGTTAGCTCCCATCGCGCGTATCTGCCAAGAACTGCAACGACCTGAAAGCAGAGAAAATAAGGCAGCGGAAGAGAAAGATGAGGGGAGGAGGGGAGGAGGGAAGAAGGGGAGGAGAGGATGCGGGAAGGGGAGGAGGGGAGGAGGGAAGAGGAGAGAGGACGAGGGAAAGAGAGAAAGGAAGAGCAGGAGGGTGGAGAAGGAGGATACGAGAGTGCGGGAATGAGGGGGAGGACTCACTTGAGCAGATATGTCATGGGCGGAGCTGATGCTTTCCGGATCGTCATCAAAGATCACGCAGAACTGAGGAGGTCTGGCGATGATGGCAGTGAGAAGCGATGAGGCGAGTGCAAGATAAGGATGTGATTGTACAGCAAGAGGTGGAGGACAAGGAAGCGGGTGCAGACTGATCGGAAGGAGAGGGGGGGGGGGGGGGGGGGGGCGAGGGCGAGGCGAAGGAGAAGGCTGAGAGGAAGTGGGGGGAGCAGGAGCAGACAGGTAGGACAGGAGAGAGGTGAAGGAGAGAGAAGCTTTTCGTGCACGTCAAACCTGTTCAGCTTGAGAGCTGCGCTGAGATACATCTGTGCTCGGGTGTCGCAGTCATCTGCCAGCAAGGTAAGACACGAGAAGGGGAAATGGGCGAGGAATGTAGACGGAGCAAGGAGGGACGTGGAGTGACAGAGGGAGCAAACGGCAGGAAAGTGATAGGAGACGAGAGTGCAAGGGAGGGGAAGCGAAGGAAGAGGAAGAGGAAGAGGAAGAGGAAGAGGAAGAGGACGAGGAAGAGGAAGAGGAAGGAGAATGAGGGGAAAGAACGGGAAAAGGAAGGGAAGGGAAGAGTATGGGTGGGAAGCGACTTGAAAGGATGGAGGGCAAGTCAATTACCTTCAGCCGTTACCATCGCAATGCTATATTGCGAGATTCCCTAGGGGCCAACGAGGGTGAGCAGGTGGGGAGAGAGGCGAGGGGAAGCAGGAACACCATCTTGGTGAGCGAGACGTTGAGGGAGTTGACGTCCATCTCAGAGCAGACGCAGATCGGAATGGAGGCCTGTCGCAAGCCACATCACTGTGAGACAGAGCAGATCGTGCCCGATGGCCATCACCTTGTACAGCTTCTCCAGCCACTCCTTCGTCTCCTCCAAACAAGCATGATCGTATTGCTGGCAGGTTGTCAAGCTCGCAGGCCCTGCCAGAGCTTGAGTTTCACCTGCCAGCACTCGAAGAAGAGCTCGGCCTTGCGGAAAGCAATCCTCTGAGCAACGAAGCATCGTCAGGCGCCATTGCCTGCCTGCCTCCTCCCTCTCCCCCTCCTACTCTCTCGCTCCTCCCTCTCCCCCTCCTACTCTCTCGCTCCTCTCTCCCTCCCTGCGAGCTGGCTGCTGCATGACAACTCGATCACATCCTTCTCCCTCACCTTGGTGTCTCCCCAGTCTTGAGTCCAGTACATGACTCTCTGAATCGCCTGGACGCAGATCACACGGTCTCACAACTATCAGGAGCAGGACAGCATGTCACACTTTCTCTGCCGGCATCGTCATCGCCATCTTCACATCGTTCTCCTCGGGGATCCGCAAGTTCATCTCCTCCGCAACCTAGGCAGGTGAAATTTTAGGCCGGCAAAAAGATCGGATTTCGCATGAAGAAGTTCAGAAGGACGGATTGAAAGGTTGGAATTTTGCGGGGGGATTTTCAGGAAGTTGGGTACAAATCGATGTTTCTCTCTTCCACCTTGGTCCAGGCCGACTTGTGGATGGGAAGAGTGTCTGATAGGACCCCTTCGAACCTGCCAGCGCCAGGGGAAAGTGAGGAAAGTAAAGGGAAAACGGTTCAAGGAAGATGACAAAAGCGAAAACAGAACATAACCCGAGATCGACAGGACAATAAGTGAGCAGTCTGACCTGAAGATCGCTCCGAAGGCTTCATCCGGATGAAGTTTCAGCCTGCTGTGACTCAGGCGTTCACGTCGCTAGGCCATGGGCATCGGATACCGATGACGGTCAAGTCCAGTCGGTCTTAGCAGCTCATTCAGCTCATCCGGGCTCGCGAGGTTCGATCCTGTCACTGGGTACAACAAGTGAGAGGGGCGAGGTGGAAACCTCCATCGTGCAACACTGCATGCACGGACGACAAAGTAGATACAGTTGAGATGATGCAGCTCCTACACGTCGCAAGATATCCCACATGAAACGGAAAGATGCCTCATTATGACACATCGTATCATGTCACATACAGAAAGATGCCAGCACGGCTGCGACGCGCAACAGGGCACATCTTTTCACAGTATTTTCATCACGATTGGGCTGCACGCTGTACTGACCAGGATGGTAATCTCTGATCGGGCTGTTCCTGTCATCCCATTCACTTTGCCGCCTTCCTGCCTCTGACCTGCAAGGAGGGAGTGAGACTGGGCACGCTCCCGGTCGAATCAACCCGGGGGACGCGGGGGACCTTTGCTTCTTGGGAGACTCTTCAAAGTCATCATCAACTGGAGGAATTCCACCAGGTGGAAGGAAGACGTTGCGCACGCTGGAAGATCTGCGGGACGAGGAGCAGCTAGTCAAGGGATACATCAACCGCACCAGGGAGAGAGGGAGGGAGGGAGGAAGGGAGGGAGAAAGAGAGGGAGGGAGGGAGGGAGGGAAGGAGCGTGGGTTGAATCCAAGACATACCGGGGCCTCTTGCTCGCAACGCTCTTCTTGATTTGAGCACGCCCAACTCCACTCAATGCTGCATGATGGGCAACGTTGACGTACCCTGGCGAGACATGGTCATGCCGAGCGAAAATCATGCTGATATTAGGGGAACCTTCGCAGAGGACGTCGAAGAGCAGGACAACTCCCAGACTCAAGAATGCAAGGTTGCACGACGACAGTCTCATTCGTGTTAGGTGTTTGTTCGGATTCGCTACAACCCCTTCGCTAGGAACAAATCCATCTGCAGTAGGATAGGTCAGGAGGTGGCCAACATAATCTCGAAAAATCGAGAAATGCAAGGAAAAATCACGAAAGTAAAATTTCAAGCATGCAGTTCTAGTACCACGCTCTCGTGAACCAAAATATCAATATCACTAGACAAGGATCCAATCAGAGAACTGCTCTTGCTCTCAATAATCCTGTAGCGAAAGCTCTTTCGCTCCTAGCAGAATCAAAGGGGGCTTGAAAAGAACGGATTTTTCTTCTGACAACAAACTTCTACAGCAATAACCTGTTCTTTTACCATAAAGGTTTCTACTCTTGCGCAGCAGGCTGCAGGACACTAATCAGAGATATTCATATCAGCAGCCAGCGGTTTTGCTCCCAATTACCCACGACGACCTGATAAGTCGCAGCTGCAACCCACTGCAACGAGGGCGTCGCAAATACATCCAACTCACTCATCTCTTCTGTGTATTGTTCAACGTTCGCATTTTCTTTTCCCTCTCCTCTCCTTCAAGTTTGCTCTTCCCTCCCTCTGTCAGGAATACACCTGCTTCCCTTTCATTCAGTTGGGAGTCCTGACTCGAACTATCATCTCCCCGCTCTTCTCTGTATCCCGTCTTCTCCCATCGGTTTTAGCTCTGCACCCACTCCCTGCGCATGATGTGTCCTGATTCGCTCATGCCATTCTCTTCGGTCCTCTTCTTCCTCCTCTCCCCAGCTCTGTTGCCCTCTCCCATGCATGGCGCTTGTGTGGGGCATAGAATCAGCACGGAAATGCAGGTGGGGTAGTGATTCGGTGGGGTAGGGTAGTATGGAAATGGGGTACAGATTTCAATTTAGAGGTACCTCGTTGCAATTAGACTACCCTACCCGTGATTTCAAATCAAAAAAATGGTCTGCTCAAAATGGTCTGAACTTTCAAAATATTCTGGTAAAAATACCCCTTTCAAGTTGAACTTCTGACTGTATTTTCATTCCAATTTCCAATATTAGAAATCAAACAGACTTGAGGGTGCGTTGAGTAACTTTCCAGGGTCATCAACAAAGTCTGGGGGTAGGGGTACATAAAGGTACGGGTACATGAGTCAGTCACAGGATTGAAGGTGGGTACCAGGGGTGCAACACCGTGTTTTAAGACATCGAGAACTGGAGTCCAGTGGTAGGGTACTTGTACTAGACTGAGGGTAGGGTAGGGTCCTCCGTGGAAACACAAGGAAATTGTACGGGTGGGTGGTAAAGTTTTCAGGGTACCCTTGGGAACTATGGGGTAGGGTTTGCAATTTACACATGTACACGAGGGTGGGTCCATCGATAATCTAGGTACATTGCATATACCTGGCTACATCAACCGGAAAAATGGGGGGTACTGTGATAGTGTTGAAGGGGGTGGAGGAAACAGGAATAATTTTCAAGGGGTAGGGTGATCAATTTGAATGGTACAGGTAGGGTTACAATCAAAAGTCCTAACACCAGGGGTCCTAACACTAGGGGTACTTGGGATACTGACCCCACCACCCCACAGCAGAGAAACGAAAAGAAATGTTCTGTACACAGAACATTTGATCACTGGAACGGGCCGGGGCCGCGCGGCCGGCCGGGCGTGTCAACTTAGTTTCAATGTGACGCCGGGGCCCGCGCCAGCCGACTAGCCCAGCCTACGCCGATCACGTCAGGCTTGGCGCGGCAGTCGCCGCGGCAGCTGACCGGCGGCCGGGCGGCCGCTCCGATCATCGGATGCCCGGTCGCGGCAGCCCGCCGTGGGCCGCCATCGGACCGTCCGGCGACCGTCGGACCGTACTCAGGCTCCGTCAACAGTGTGATTCAAGCCTCAGATAACTTGGCAGAGCGGCGCCGGGCCGCCGGATCACGCCGTCGGTCAATCACTTTTTCAGTTGAATGCCGCAGTGCCGCGGTGGCCCGGCCGGGCCCTGGCCCGCACCCGGTCACCGGGTGGCACGTCACCGTACGGTGACCGGCCCGTGACTCCGTCATCATCATGAGTCCCGACTCGGCGAGTCGGCGGAGTCCCGGCTTGGCCGACGTGACCGGGTCGGATTGAAAAGTCTTACCGGACGGTCCGTGTTTTAGTTGAGTTCTACAGTACATCATCCTGATCCAACCAGTGCCGCGCTCCGTGTGCCACCAGCACCAACCAACTCTAGTCTTCGATCTTCGAGTCCCCCTGCTCATTGAACGGTGAGAACGTACTCTTTGAAGAGTCGGCGATGGTGCCGCAGGCAGTGAGATCACTCTTCACCTCGAATTCGAACGAGTACGACGCACTTTCCCTGCTCTGATCCATCGCACTCAGGTCAACGTCCCCCGTAGTTGCTGACCGCTCCTTTTCTCTTTGAGACTCCCTCCCTTCTTCACCCTGGACTTGTGGCGTCAACCGAGCACTTACTCTGTGACATGAAGAAGACGGCACCTTGGCGTTGGCAGCTGCAGATTCATGCAGGTCGTTCAGTTTGTCGGCGTCTACATCACACAGCGAGTCAGGTCGTGGAGGAGAAGACGATACTGAACAATGCGGGGCGCGGGAGCGGGAGGGGGGAGCAAGAAATCGGAAGGAAAGGTCGATGGGTTCAACCTCCATCCAGGATCGGCGGTGCCGATTCTGCTCCATTCCTGTTCCTATCCCACTCTCAGTATGGCAGGGAGGAAGATGAGGCGACCGAGCAGACCTTGGGCCTTTGTGTGAGTTGAGCGAAGGTAGTGGCCTCCTCCTGCACAAGCAAGTGAGGCGTTCAGACGGCGGCTGATGTGCTGAAGCTTCACCGCAGAACTTTGGTGTGCCCGCTCCCGGATGACATTTCTGCACCATGCTGTCAGTGAGTGAAAGAGCATGGCAGGACGGCGGTAGAAGGAGGGAGGGGAGGAAGGAGGGAAGGGAGGAAGGAGGGCGAGACTAAGACGGTCGAAGAGGCAACAACGACAATGCAGTGGGAGGGAGTGGAAAGGAAGGAGGGAGTGCAACGAAAGTCTCACCAGAGACACGACTTCGAAGGCTTTCTTTCCCTACGTCGAGCTCGTCATGTGAATCTTTGGCGGTTAAGGAGTGGAAGGAGTCACGAGCGGGGAAGACCTTAAACGTCGTAAGGTGAAGGGAAAACTATTTCTTGCATCCTGCTCACCTGGTTGGGGTATTTACAGATGTGAGACATGAGACTGTGTGTCCTGTTTGTGTGTTTATCCCATTCTGCCAAGCTGTAATATGGCTTTGCTTCCCGCAATCTCCGTCCAATCAGCTGATTCTGCTCGATGAGCTTGTCATTCCTTCTCTTCCTGGCACGTTCACCGTCCAGCGCAGGGCAGTTTAGATTTGTGTGCTCTCCAAAGACGGAATCTGCTGCATTCCTGACCATGATTCTGCTCATCTTGTCGAGGAGACGGAAGTTCTCCTTCTCGATCGCGCTGTACCGCTGGAAGTCCATCTCTCGCTTTTTCCGGTTGAACTGCAAATGCTTCATGTTTGTCGTCGCCGGGGGTTTGTTATCAATCATTGGCTTCATGTTCTTCAACCTGCTCTTGTGCAGCTCTGTCTTGTGATCAAAATCTTTCTTCCTGACCACCGATGCATCGTCAGGTTTTCCTGTTGAGCAAAGTTCGCATTTCACCTGAGCACGTCCAACCCTGATAGGTGGGACTCAAGCCCAGTCAGAGGTGGGCGGTAGCGCATCAGCATGGAACTCGGCATGGCCGGCTTCAGATCTCGGCCAGGTGTGTCTCGTACGCTGAACTGCAACTCTCCGTCTAAACCAAAGGAGCGGAGGACGATATGTCTTGGTAAGGAAAAGGATGAAGATATGAGAGTATCCCAGCAAGCAGCCCGAATGTGATGAGCCTGATGAAGGTCTGAGGGCGTCAGGACGACATCTCTGATCCTCTCTTCTCCTCCTCCGTCCAGTCTCCCGCTCCTCCTCTCAGCATGCGGGAGCCGTTAGGTACCGCTGCCAGGGGAAACCGTAGGAAACGATCCTGTTAGGGACAAAAATGATGTAAATGATTGTTGCCGGATTATCGCAGGCCAGCACGGTCCGGTCACCGTGCACTGAGTGCCAGAGCCTGAGGGCCCGGCCCGGGCTCAGCGGCCCACTCCGATGCCCGCCACTGATCCGGGGAGTCCGCACTGTACTACTGACGGTACTCGCCGTTTGGCCGGCTGAGTGCGACCTTTACTCAAAGTTAAGTTAAAAATCAGTACTACGGCGAGTCGGAGGACAATCAGGCCCTGAAGTCCGGGACTGAGTCCGGGAGTCCCGGACTCGGAGAGTCCGAAGGAGGCTTGACCCTGACACTGTCGCACAGGCGGGCCAAACGGCCGGGCGAGCCTTCAGTCGGAAGAGAAAAGACAGCGACTCGGAGAGTGCGACAGTTCGGAAGGCAAGTTGGCACGGTTGACGCCGGTCAGCCCATACGGCAGTGGCGGCTGAGCCGGGTCACTGAGTCAACTTGCGGCCTCCTCCCAGTTTGGGCCTCGTACTGATTTTTAACTTAACTTTGAGTAACTGAGAAGTTACTCAACTTCTCAGTAACTGAGAAGTTACCGTACTCTCGCGGCCGGGGCCCGGGGCGGGCAGCGGCCTCGGACGCCGTCACCAACGGGCCGACTCAGGCGCGGCCGTGACTCTTACTTCACTCACAGAGTCAGACGCCGGCGTGACGCCGGTCACGCCGTGGCCCGCCGCCGCGGCGTGGCCGGCCGGGCACCCGCGGCCCCGCACGCGGCCCGGCCCGGGCGCTGATCGGACAAAAAGCCGGAACGGCAACCCAGGCCGGGCCACCGTGTGACCGGGCGGCGGCCGGGCTCAGTGGGCCCGGCGGCGGCCGCCAGCGGCAGATTTCCGAACTCGGAAGTCACTGGCACCGGGGACCGGGAAGTTGATGTTGGCAACACGGCCACCGTGAACTGGCGGCTTGATTCAGTCGCAGAGGCTGAAAGTAACTCGGAGCCTGACTAGAATGATAAGTACTACTTCGCGGCACGGGCCGTCACTCGGGCGGCGGCTGCCGGTGACCGTTGTGCACACAGTGCCGCAAACTTGAAAACGGTTCTGCAAGTTTACACCGTCAGTACCTAACTGGCCAGGCACAGGCTCACAGTGACTGCCGGGCAGGCAGGCAACTGCGGCACTGCAGGCAGCCGGGACTCCCGGGGGAAGCACTGCAGGCACTGGGAGGCAGCTTGGCAGGCAGGCAGGCAGGCAGGCAGGCAGGCAGGCAGGCAGGCAGGCAGGCAGGCAGGCAGCTACTGCCACTTGACCTCCTGAAACTCACGTGAGGTGGACTTCGGTTCGCGTGTTGACACCCTGCAACTCACAACGTCTGAAGGGCAGGCACGCAATTTCAAGAGTGACTTGACCATTGCGACATTGTGGCCCTGACAAACGAAAGAGCGCTCCATGGGAGATACAAACGAGCTTATGGTGCGAGAGAACTATAGAGCAGCAAGGAGTACACAACACTGAGTTTGCTCTCGTACACTCGTAGGCATCAATGACATTATTCAAGAACTGATCTGAGCCTAGATAATGCTGATCAAAGGTAATTGACAGTAACCAGAAGTCCTTTGACAAGATGGAAGCAGCTGCCTGCGTGTTTGCTGCGTCAGTTCAGCACCTACATCTCATATTCCGCTAGCCCTGCACAGACAGACCTCTTGAACATGATCTCTTGTACACTGTTGGTCAAAATGCCAAAGTTGAGCAGCAAATGGAACAAGTCAATCTCGGCTCGAAGTTCCTCTACTTTTACTGCTAGATCACAATGCTTATGGCAGCATTAACCACACACCCTCGTCAGTGGAGACGACATCGGCGTTTCTTAGCAAAAGGTATTCGTAGTCCACTTGCACGTCATGAACCGAGCAGCAAGCATTCGAAAAAATTCGATCCCTCAGCAGCGACATCTATTGCGACCAAGGAAAGTTTTCCTGCATCATTCGACGCGAGAAATTGAGAGCAAATGGTGGCAGCGACTCTTTCAGCTCTCAACAGGCAACCATCAACTAGCTCCTCATTCTCCTCCTCTCAGTTCCTCGTCACTCAACCATGCTCATCTTATCTGAATCTGCATGAAAGTCTCATGAAAGTCTCCGGCTCTTCCCTTCATCTGCCCTCCAACATGCAGCACGGGTCTAACTTCCAGCCCCGGCCTCCACTTCCATACCAAACAACCATGCTCGACCGCCCTCATCCTCTCCGTCCTTCCCTCCTTCAAATGACCCTCCTTCAGCCAGGGCGATATTTCTGCTACTCCTCTCCCTCCCTCTCTCCTTTTATCCTCCCTCCCCTCCCGCGCGCGCGCACGTTCTATGTGCTAACTAACGAATCTGCATACTTGGTTGTTCTCTTCCCTTTTTTTTTATTCTTTTTTTTTTAGTTTCCGCTTTTCCAAATTTTTATTTTGCTCCTCCGAGGGCAACGTGTCCTCAGTAGGTCCTAGGAACCGTATGTACACTACGCAGAGGGTCACAACCCTACTGAATGTACTAGTTGCTCATCTCAACCGGCACACCCCCCGTGGTCACTACCCCTTACATCTCCTGAAAAGCATACCCCTACCACCACCCCACCCCAACTGACCGATATGCTACCACCTATTTGGTTGGTCATCATCCGAGCTGGTTATCTGACCCCTGGAGCATCGACACCACCCCTGTATCCGGCTGGTTGTCGTGTACCTACACCATGGTTCATTGTTCCGAATAACCCCCACCGCCCCCTGGGGATGCCCACCTCTAGTCAGACATTTTTACTCCAATCGATCGGTTGACTTCTTGAAAAGAAGTCTTTTCGATAATCAAAATGCCTTTTCCAGGCTTTTACGACGACCACAAGCTACCAACTTTACTACACACTCCGCATCTCCCCGCCCCGTGTCCTTCCGCACCCCCCCCACCCTTCTCCGCTCCCTCCGCTCCCTCCGCTCCCTCCGCTCCCTCCGCTCCCTCCGCTCTCCTCCCTCTTGCGCTGCTTGCCCTTCTTGCGACTTGACTGCTCTTCGTGAGTTCAGCCGCTGCCCTCTTCTCGCCTGTACTTTCTCCCGCTGGCGCGTGAAGTTGAAAGTTCGGTCCTGAAGCACCCCTCCGTGCAATCTTGCTCTTTCCTTCCCTCCTTGTCTTTGTAACGCAATACCTACTTCATTCTCCCTCGCTTTCCTAGTGTACCCCCCCAAGTATTCTTGGATTGCACGATCGGTCAATTCAGATACGTTCTCTGCAGCGAGCCAGATCTAGTCATGGATAGCGCCGCCAGTACTAGTCCGCCCTACCTCCAAGATACCGCGACAATGAAAAGCAACAGAAGAAAGAAAACTTCAGAACTCACGGTCGATTTCATCCAGAGCCTGTTCGTCATGCGACAACAGGAAGCTGCTGACTTGCTGGTACGTTGTCGAGATCGCCGACGCGGCGTCGTCGGTTTCTCCTCCTCTCTTCTAACATCTCGTCTCAGGGCTTCTCTATCACGACGATGAAGCACGTCTGCCGGCGACTGGGCATCCAAAAGTGGCCTTACTCGCGCCTGAGACCAAGGGTTGGGACAGGGAGGGAAGAGGTAGTCGTTGCCCTTGCTCGATCGCAAGCGAAGAAGAATGCTCGCACACAAAACCAGCTACAAAGTGATGTGAGTGATGTGATGCTTGACGACACGAAGGAAGTCACATCGAGCTCCTGGGTACACGAAGAGGCACTTGGGCAATGGAGCATGGAGATGGGACAGTTGTTCAAAGATGCTTTCGACCATATCGAGAATAGGGGATAGTTTCCTTCGATGCGTCAGTGCGGCGGGTTGGACAGATTGAAGGTGGTGTTGTAAGGTTTATTTACAGACGATCCCAGTACAGAGCCGCAGTTTGTTTCAAGTCACAAGTAAATCACAACAGATCAAAGTCGCAAGCACTCAAATCACTTGCCAGTTTAATCGGACAGTCACTGCCCGCCCGGCGGAATCCAGATCAATGATGAGGAGCATTACTAACATCCGTTACGGCAGTTTGAACTTTTTACTCAAAGTTAAGTTAAAAATCAGTACGAGGACAAAGGCAGTACTACGACGGTACGGTGCGGCCCCCGTCTCCAGCCCGGCGGGGCGGCCCTGCCCGCCGCGGCATGTCAGTGTGGCAGTGCGGCGCGCCGCCGAGTGCCACAGCTGAGCCGGGCTGTGCTCCGAGACTCTGAGAGGCTCGCCGAGACCGTTGAGTCGACTCAGCTTCTGTGAGTCGGCGTCCGATCACTGTGTCGGAGCCTCCCAGGCTCGCCGCCTCTCCTGATTGCCACTGGGTCCTCGTACCGTGATCGGACCTTTAACTTGACTTAAAACGTTCGGAGCACTACTTGAAGACAGTCACCGTACGCCGGTCTACTAGAGTCGGCCGGCGCCGAAACTCAGTGAAAGTTGCCGTACGGTACGGTGACTAGTCACTGAGAGCCTCGGACGGCCGGGTACCGCCCCCGGCGGCCCGGGCCCGGCCCCGGGCCGCGGCCGGCGCCGCGGGGCCGCGGGCGCGCCCGGACGCGGCGCTGGCTGATAATACCGCGGCGTCTGGCGGCGCGGGCGC